TATAGTGGAATGTTTGTGTCCTGATGATATAATTGTTCAGGACTTGTTTTCAGTGGAGTGTGCAAACCCACTTAATTTACTTACACTGAGCAGTAAGTGGTTTTCAATTGTTCCATTATCCATCCTCTTTTCTCTGCACTTTAGTTTCCTTCATGCAGTAGATTCTGTTGTTACATGGGAAAATTTCGGTGTGTTGATGGATCACGTTAGCCATTTCTCTGCGTAGAAACCAGAAGGATCGATGAGATGAAGGTGTAAATTGAATGATGCTTAGAAGAGGCAGGAGGAGGCCTCCAAATAAATTTCTAATGAGGAATAGATAATCCTACAACGTGTCAGTGAGCTTATATTTAGGAGCAGGTGATTGTCAACAGTTTGCTGCTGAATTGAGTATTCAGGTGGTTCTTAACTCATCTTAAGACTTCCCTAGTTCTGAATTTTTGCAGTCACTGCTGAAGTATATGCACATCTATGAGTGAAAGCTGTATTTTCAGATGGAAAAAGCTTCCTAGGGTGACTTGTACAAGGGAGATGGTGTTGTTACAGTTAGCGGGCTGTGGGTTGCATATGTCTTGAAAGACATGGGGGTTTTTTGAGATGTGGGGATCAGGGCTGCCTATACATAGCTCAGCATTTGAACTGAACTGATATTACTGGGTTGACAAAGTCTGCCAGGAAAATTTCAGGTTAAGTCTCTATGATTAATGAAAGTAGAACTATTTGCATTAATGAAAAAAGTATATCAAATTGTTAAATGTACATGGAGTAGAAAAAGTTTATAAGCAGACCTGCGAGAACTTGTTTTAAATGATCTCTTACAACTGAAGTAATTAGTTTGTTTCTCTTACAGGAAAAGAGCAACCATTTTATTGACATAGGTAAGAAGTGACAAGTTGTTTGAAGATGAAAAATCCATTGATGAAGGAGCTACATATGATGTAGATCTTTAAGATTTTTGAAGGTACTTGGATGCCTACGGATGAAAGTAGGACCCTATGATACGTACGGAAATGCCTGTTTGTTCCTGTAATTGCCTGGATGCTTTAAAAGTCAAAATGTTAATTTGTAATGCCTGAGATGGTAATACAATTATAGTGAAAATAAATAATTTTACGTTTTGCTGTGACAGAATTTTGTCCTTGAATTGTCTTCGTTATGTAGCCATATAGTTTGTCTGACCATAAATTCTAAACCAGTACTTGACTGGGGCTTTTCTCCTGCTCTCACGTCTCTTCCTTAGCAGTAATAAAGGAATGACAAATACTGACTGTGTCAAATCTCAGATGTCTTAGGGTATGTACTCCTCTAGCTTATATTTGTATTTAATTTTTTTTAAGCTTCACTTGCTTACTTTCTTTATTTGAAATCTCCATCTTAACACAAGATGTTCCTTAATATTTTCTAGATACATACCTTCTTTCAAGGTACGAAGTCTCTTGCTACTAACAGTTTCACTAAAATGAGACATCATCTCTCATCATGGATCAGAACAAGAGAACTGTCTATGCATTGCATTCTTTGGAGTTCTTTGTAAAGAATTATCCAGTGTTTTTGAATTTGAAATGTGGAAGTAATGGGCAAAATTGAGGAACAAGACAGGTTTTAATTACGTCTTATGAGTAAATGAACATACCAATACATAGTTAATTCTATAACTTTTTTCATTAAATTAGGATAGTATTTAATAGTGAAGTGGAAAGCAGTAGTTTGAGTATTTCCTGAAAGTATCTTTCAGTTGACAAGCATGAATAATAGTTATTTTGTATGAGTATAATTACCTTCCAAACCTGTAGTCATGGAATCATAGAATGGTTTGGGTTGGAAGGGACCTCAGAGATCATCTAGTTCCAGCCCTCCTGCTGTGGGCAGGGACACCTTTCACTAATAAGGTTGCTCAAAGCCTTATCCAGCCTGGCCTTGAACACTTCCAGGAACAGAGCATCCACAGCTTCTCTGGGCAACCTGTTCCAGTGCCTCACCACCCTCAGAGTGAAGAATTTCTTAGATCTAATCAAAATCTGCCCTCTTTCAGTTTAAATCCATTGCTGTTTGTCCTGTCACTACGGGGCCTACTAAAAAGTCCCTCTCCAGCTTTCTTGTAGCCCCTTTAGTTACTGGAAGGCTGCTAGAAGGTCTCTCCGGAGCCTGCTCTTCTCCAGGCTGAACAACTCCAACTCTCTCAGCCTGTCTTCATAGAAAAGAGGTGCTCCAGCTCTTGGATCATCTTCGTGGCCCTCCTCTGGACTCACTTCAGCAGGTCCATTCCTTCTTAAGTTGGGGTCGCCAGAGCAGAACACAGTACTCCAGACGCACAATAATGTCATATATGCACTGAAGGCAATTTTGTAACCTGTGTCACAAATTATAATGGCAGCTAAGTGAGAATGTGTTGAATGGTAATCGCATACGTGCAGAAAACGTTCAAGTTGAAGTTGTTAGGCCCTAGATATCTTTCCCTGAATTATGGAAATGAACTTGTTTCAATTCAGTTTCATTTAACAGTTAGTCAATTAGTCAATTAAACAGTAAGTTTAACAGTAAGTAAATTAAAATAAGCTTGCAAGTATATTCTATTTGTATGTTGTTTACATGTAATATTACAAAGAACTGAAATCTTTTTTGTTTGGTTGGTTTTTAATGACTGGGAGTTTTTTAGAGTGAGTCCTATGGATCTTTTTCCCCAGTATGCGTTGAAGGCAATTTCTGTGTGTAGCTCTCAAAACTCTTAATTGAGACTTCTCAAACTTGTTCTTGTGTATGATTCATTGAAGTGTTTTTTACTAGCAAATATTAAAAGGAGAGTAACTGTTGGAAGGACAGGTGACCTGCTAGAACTTTTTCCCCCTCAGCACGTAACTGACATGAAGTTCTAAAGCAGGTTATTTTAAGAATAATTTTGACGTAGTTTATCTGGTGAAAAGGAAAAATGTTGTAAACTTCAGTGTATTGTGTCAGTGTTCACTTAAGGATTTACCCTGCAGCAGTGTCGCATGTCACTGTATTTCACAGAATCACAAAACGTTAGGGATTGGAAGGGACCTCAAAGGATCATCTAGTCCAATCCCCCTGCCGGAGCAGGACCACCTAGATCAGATCACACAAGAACACGTCCAGGTGGGTTTTGAACACCTCCAGAGAAGGAGACTCCACAACCTCTCTGGGCAACCTGTTCCAGTGTTCTGTTACCGTTCTTCCTCATGTTTAAGCAGAACCTCCTATGTTCCAGCTTATATCCATTTCCCCTTGTCCTATCATTGGATGTCACTGAGAAGAGCCTGGCTCCATCCTCATGACAGTCACACTTTACATATTTATAAACATTTAATGAGGTCCCCCCTCAGTCTCTTCCAAGCTAAAGAGACCCAGCTCCTTCACCCTTTCCTCATAAGGGAGATGCTCCACTCCCTTAATCATCTTAATCATCTTTGTGATTTTCCCGTAATAATTTCCTTTGTCAGTATATCAGCAGTGACAAAAGAAAAAAATAGCATACACTAGACAACATCTTGGAATAGGAAAAAAGCTAGCCAGATCTTCAGGAGTAGGAGTAGCTTTACTTTCACTTTGTTGAAGACAAGAAACCTTTGAACTTTCACTGATCTGTCATTTGTGTGTGTAAGATAGCTATTCGGTGCCTTTTTAAGAATGAACAGATCTGTCATTGGATCCTGTCAATATGGGAAAGCTTTGGACTTCAGGTTAAAAGCATTCACTTTTGCTGAGTTACTGTAAACAAATTTGAAGGTGAAATTTGCCTCTAACTTGGGCACCTGAATTTAGGCATGTAGGTATCACTTTCTGACATCCACATTTGCCTAGGGAGCTTAAGCTCCCTTGACTTTATTACCAAAGAGTTTGATTCAGTTGCCTAAAGGTAGGCATCTGGTGTCACCTGAGACGTAAGATATCTGAAGTGGCTGCATGGGGCTGGCATAAATGACACACGACCTATAGGTGTCCTTCATGTCCTTCTCAGCTGGGAGGTGAAGACCAGTTGGGATACCCTAGAGCATCTCACATGTAGGCAACTAGTTTTGCCTCAGTATCCATTGATACAATAGGAGCTAAGGTGCCTTGGTTGCATGCAGGTACCTAAATGTGACACCTTTCTTAATCTTGAGGTCAATGCTGGTCATGGTTTCTGGAATGTGGAACCTTACTGCAATGAAGATTGCTCATTTGTAGTCTAAATTCCCCGCTTTTAATTACATACAGTAATGTGCTTGTTGAGTTGAAATAAAAATAGATAAATCCTACAGTGAGGAAGATATTTTACTGAATATGACTTAAGTTACTTTTTGGATACTGTTTGTAACCTTGGACTACTCAGTGAGTGAAGAGAGTGGTCACTTAGCGTGTACAGCTTGTCAGCCTGTCATGGAGGTGTGAGGTTACAATAGTCGTTCATTCTTGGGCTGGAGGACACACCTATTGCTCAGCTGCAGGGGACAACAGCAGGACTTCTTAGGGAAGAAAGTCTGTCTGCTTCCAGGTTTATGGCTATTTATGCTCTAACAGTGAGCTGCCAGTGACCTAGTGAAAATACTTTCCAAGTGTTCAGAGCATTGGGTTCACAGCAAGTTGATTGTGAGATGTTACACCTGTGGATTGAAAGCAGCTTGACAGGCAGACATGTTTCCTCTTGCGAGGGTAGGGGCTAGACGCTGTGGAGAAAAACAGGTACTGCCTTGTCTTGTGGGCAGAAAATTTCCTGTATGAGTGAAGTTCTGTATCGACACAAAAAGTTGTCCCTACGTTTATTCTAAGGGTTAATGGCCTACAGCTTCTCTGAAGTGTAAGTTATTGATGAATATGTGTGTTCATGTCTGTTTCTTCTGTAAAAGGAGAAGACAGCAGCATTAAGTAACAATTGTTTATTAACGTAAGACTAAAACTTTTCACAAATATTTAGTTATACCAATCAAGACACGTTTTTTGGGACAGTTTGGACTGAGTATCCACATTAAACAGTTTAGCATAGGTGTCTTATTTCAGCTTTTAGAATGCATCATTTCACTGATCTAGTCACAAGAAGAGAAGGCAATAAATGTGCAGTTTTCCATATTTTAAAATGGAAAAGATAACATCCATAATAACAAACAGTATCATATCATAAATTCATAACCCAGCGCACCTCTACACTGCCATATGAATGTTCTTGTAGTGAAAAACAATGCAACATTAACATGACTTGGAACCACAGCTTCTAGTTGTTATTGAGGACCCACCACGATGCTGAAAGAGAGGAGATTTATTTGTTAACATAAGCTGTGTTTCTTTTTCTACCACTTGTAAAAATGCTAAATAAAATAGCTGTAATGTATATAAAGAAAAATTAATTTATATATGCAGCTAATACTGCTTTATTTGAAAGCTGCACACTTTCAAGGACAAAACCTATCCAAGCAGGGGAAGAATACTTAAAATACTAGGAGGGCCGAGTATAACTGGTGAGGGGGTGGCTTTAGCACAAGAATTTATATCTCTTTTTGATAACAATCCAAAGAAGCATTAATGTGTCATAGGTGTGGTTGCATAGAATTAAGCACTCAGATCCCAGAGAGCAAACCACATAAATCCTCACTCCTGTTCTGCTGCGCGTGTCAGCATTTTAGCTAAGCACTGTGTCCCCTGGGTAGCTGTGCTGCCTCTAATGACTTTCTATCCCAGTGACATTATTCAAACCTGATGTTCTTTTTACACAGCTCTAGGAATTAAGAGCGTTTTGCCCCAAAGTAAGAGAAGTGATGGACTTGTAAAATGTCATTCCCTTAGAAGATCTGTAATCACCAGATTATAGACAGGGCTGGAGTAAAACACATTTGTACTTCTTCCCCTTTGTCATTTTGAAATTGAACCTTATGCAGAGAGGAACCACAAGATCTACGGAGAGACAGAGGAAGGAAGGGAAGGAATTGTGACTGTATCTGAGTTGCCAACTCGCCTTAGCAGAGGGGTGTTCTAGGTTCAGTAGGTTTTATACCACACAATTTGAGGATTAAATTCATTAACAACACTTGTTACTGTGAATGTGTCCATCAATCCTTCAATTTATGGCATTTTTCTGAAAAAATGTTTTTCTTGAAGAGTATTGAGAAGATACTTAAGAATCTTACCTGAATTTGGGCTATGAAAACCTAACAGTCTCTGACACATCAGTGGATTAATGAATTTTGCCAAAAAATTGCCAATTTAACAGTTTATTTCATAGATTATAATGTTGTAATTGTTCAACTGTTTCCCCCTAGCTTTTGTTTTCTTCACCAAAAGGTTCTCCAGTGTCCTCAAGTCCAGATCTTTTATATAAAGATGAGGCATTCACTGAAGCTGAACTGAGTGATTGATGCCACCCTGGTAGATCGGCCTGAAGCAACTTGGTGGTTTAACAGATGTGCAAGTGATTATAATAGGTTGTGGTTCCTATTAACTCATGGTAAATGAACTTACTTTTAAGAATACACTGGATGTAACAGTCCTGAAATGCCATGTCTTCCTGAATCATTCTTAGCCAGGTGAGTGTATCCTTACTAATTTTAGTTAACCAGCTGAGTGAAGACTCTTGGGTTGTAATCTTTGAATCAGATTCAGATGACGATTTAGAATTGTTTCAGCTCTTATTTAACTATATGTGTAAAAAACTGTAGGTTTGTCTGAGCTAGGGTAGATTTGTTTTTAAAATAGAGCCTATGTATGTGCTAGGTGCAGAAAGGTTAGGTTTTTCTCTGATTTTACAGCGATATCACTTTACAGTGTCTAAAATTGTTTTGTAAAGTATACTGGTAGCATTGCAGCCATCATATTTACTTCATGAACATTTTCTGTCTTTCAAATACAAATCTGATTTGAATAGATCAAACATGGGAAATACTTTCTGTGGACAAAAGTTCAAATCTCTGCACGGATTTCTAAATTACAGATAATCTATAAAAGTGTAAATATATCTGTGAATGCGTTACTTCCCGTTGCTCCCCGCCCCCTGCCCCAGCAAGGACTGCACAGTGAGAAATGTTGTTTCTATAGCAACTGTCTGCCAGGATAGAGTGCTGCAGACTGAAATCCTTCTTAGCAGGCAGAGCAGATGCTTTAACGAGCATTTTGAATCCAGTTTCAGACACTTCTATATTTAGGTGTTTATGAATGGTGTTTACATGTTATTTTATGTTAGTTGTACTTCAGCTGTGAGTAAACCACCCCTGGAACACTCCTGGGTCATACCCAGCCTAGCTCTTGGACACAAAGTTTGTGAAAAGGCCATGTTGTTTCCTACAGCCAAGTTTGTCTTAAATCCAGTAATTTCCCAGGAAGACAGAAGATTTGAAGGGATTCTTGGTTCATTAAGTGCAATCTCCTGATACTGCGGGGATCTCTGGCATATAATTGCATGTTCAGATCAGGCTCATGAAGTCTGAAAATGTCTTGGCTGGTTTCTTTTAAGGAGAAGCTCCAGGTATAGGACTATATATTTTTATTTTTTTTTTTCCTACTAGATGGGGTTTTAATATTTTAAATTTAGTCTGTACTCAGACATAGAGGAAATTAGGGTTTCATTGTAATAGATTTGTGTTGCCTAAAATGAAAATGTTGCTGTCCTCCCTCCGTAAATATGGGAGCAGCACTTGCTTTGCTTCATCCTGCACTATCTCTTCTAACTGGTTTCTCTGAGAAAGAAGATGTTGCATGCTCATTAGTTTGAACTAGAAATAGTAACTTGGAATCATTAACATCTTGCTTTTTTGAAGCCGTTTGTTTTTTCCCTATTCTAACATGGCAGGAAGCATATACAATAAATTGGTTAGTAAATAGGTTAGTAAATATCAATTATTAGTAATTAAGACTCGTGTCAGTCGGTGTAAATATGATTACATTGAAGTCCTCCTCAGCAAGCAAGTTTTTGCCTGGAAATCTTGAACACGTCTATTTTACTATTCACAAGTAGTCTTGTTTATTCTACACAGTTTCTTAAATAGTATACGCTAGCATGACTTTGTACCATATAAAATAAAGCGTTCTGGGTCTTATTCTTGCTGATGCAGTTTACATTTTTGTGCTTAAAACAAAAACATTTGGAGCCCCTTTCTCCTCCATACTTTACCAAAGAAGATCTGACTAAGGGTGATATTATGCAGTGGTCTTGTGTATGGCATACACTAAATATAGCAGAACTCTTCACATGGAACAAACAACATACTGTGAAAAATTGGTATTTACCAGGGACTAGCATTGTTGTGATGAGCTCTGGAGTTTCCAAGAAGTCCACATTACTTCTTTGGAAGGTCTTGCTGTAATTCATTTGAAGGTGACTAAATAATTGTGAAAAATAAGAATATATTAAGTTTTTTAAAGGGGCTAATTTTTTTTTATGAGCGTCAGAAATTGTAATTACAAGCAATGCTGTAACAGAGATTTTGTGCTTCAAAACTTGCGCAACGATGATAGTGAGAGAGGAGACTTGATAAGCTGTGAAGTGCTTGCATGTTATATTAAACATAGATTTTTTTCTGTATGGCTAACTGTTCCTCTGATGCTCATCTCTTGGCTGTCACTAAGCATAGTGTTAACATGTGTTACAAGTGTTCTTGAGTCTTTCTGAAAGTAAACTTTGAACTGGCGTTTTGTTCAAAGGGAAAGAAGCTGAGCTTCAAGAGGCTTCTCCATCTTCCTTCAGAATGGTTTCTGTCTATAGATTTAGGGTCATTGTAGGGTTTTTTTAGTGGGTTTTTTTTTTTTTTTTTTTAATAGTAAATGCAGCTAAGGAAAATGTTTTTGTCTCTACTCAGTCTCTTAGCCATCTGCCTGCTGCAGGCTAGAATTCAGCTGGTAGGACTTCTGATCAGTGTAACTTCTATTTTGGACCCAAAGGAGACATTCTGGGAACTGTTGGGTGTGGTTTTGTGATGTGGATTTGAAAAGCTTTGGGAGAGCTCTCCATGACTGCATGCATGCTTAAGTGTGTTGCTGGATGACACACCTCCTGTCTCACTCATTGCCTCCTTTTGTTTCTTTCATTATCATTAAACTGGGATAATAATCCCGTTTCCCTATTCTTTTGTCTCTAATCAACTGACATCCATCTGATGCCATACCTTTTTGTACTCACTTTCAGACTTTTTATGTTCTGTTCGAATTAGCCTTGTCTTTCTGACATTTTTATTTATACGTTTCAGTATATTTTAGTCTTTAGCAATTGAAGTATTGTTCTGAAGCATTGTGATATATTTAGCAAGAGATCGATTAGCATTATTTAAAGTAATTTGTATTCAGTCTTTCTACACAACTGCTTTCTAACCTTCAAACCTTTCTGTGTTACACAACAAAAAACGAACAAACCAAAAACCTGAAACTTACCTATTCCAGGCATTGCTGTTCTCCCAGAACTCATAAACAATGAAGCGGGAATCACTTGGAAGCTTCTGTATGGAAACACTAAGAATTGTAGGATAGAACTAATTTGATCAAACATGACAAAGTTACTGGACATACACATCTTCTTCCAAGTTACTTATGAGTAGGAACAAAATGCAGTGATTTTTGAAAAAAAACAAGCTAAAACAAAAAAACGACCCAAATAATACATTTAACAAATAAGTGATCACATACTACAAATTATCTGAACTTTTTTTTTTTAAAACAAACTCTTGAAGTATTTTGATGGCTTTTTATTTATTAATATTTTATATTACTACAGTTATGATGGACTCTTATTTATGAAACTAATTATTCATATTTCTCAATGTCATTTATCTAAAGAAATTATAATCAGTAATACAGAAAATCAATCAAACAACTGTGGCTCAGGGAAAATCGGCTGATACAGCATATTGCACATAGAGAACAAGTTTATAGAGTAGTTTGTACTGTTTCATTGAAGAATTACACTGTGAGAAGTCATCCTTTTGTATGACAGATGTATCAAAGTGGCATAGAGTTTAGGTGCTTTGAGAGAAAATATTGATGAAGTATAAAGCCAGACAGGCTGATATCTGCAGCAGATACACTTTAAAAATAATACTTTTAGGTACTATTTATTTGTCTGTATGCCATTCAGCTAAGGATTTATCCTGGGTGAAAAATGACCCACAGAGTATCTGCTGATCCTCTGTGCAGAATCACCCTGCTTATTATCCTGAGCGTAACGGCTCTGTGGCATGTAGGGTACTTATGCATTTGGGTACTCAAATTGATGTTTAGATGTATAGCACAAAAAACATATATCCCTATTTCTCTCAGTGCCCAAGGGTTAGATTGCTGATCTTACTGCTGACGTGCTTGCTGTAACAAGCAATAAGTCATATGATTTATTGGTTTTCTCCTGCTGTATGTGAAGGTACATTGTAAAATAGCAAAAATATCAAGAACTGTTGGAAAAGACAAGTCAACGTCATAAACAGCTACAGTAAAAACCAACCGGTAGGTGGCATCAGAGACTTACCAAATGCCTGTAAACTTGGGAAAGAAACTTTTTGCCATTGTTTGTTAAGTTGCATTCTGAAGTCATGTGGGCCCTGTCCCCCTGGCAAGGTTGCAGTCACTGCAGCGTTCTGCTGGACGTTTGTTTTTGGCATTGCGCTGGGGGGCTTCTCTTCTTTGTTTGTTTGTTTTTTTTCCCCAGGTCTTGACCCACAGGAGAATTTTATTTTCCTCATCAGTCTGCCTTTTCAAGTGAACCACTGCAAAAAAGTCACTCTCTCCTTCTTCCAGCTTAATTTACTTTTTCTGGTCTGTGTGACCGCTATTGATATGATCATAAGAGTGACGATCTCATAGCAATAAGATTGATAAATTAGAGATGTGATGGGCAGTCTTTGAAGTCTTTGAATATATAGGAAGATCCTGTATTTTGTACACATTATACAAATATTTCTGTGTGGTAGTAGCTTTCTCAAGTATGTTAAATTAAGAAATTCAGTACAATGGTGAGTCACTAAAATGTATTCTTAACCCAGTTCTAGTGTTTTATTTAATTCTAAAAAGACCAAAATGGCAATATACTGTTTCACTGAAAATTTTGCTTTTTAATTTTCCCCATTCTTTATTAAGACTGAAAATTTTAAAATTAAATCCTGCAGGGACGATTTTGAAAGATTTCAAGCAGAGAACTGGCAAACCAGTTGATAAGTTGCTCACTTGCCAGGTGAGCACAAATGAAGGATGGTAAGAGGATTTCCCTGCCCATGGCAGGGGGGTTGGAACTAGATGATCTTTGAGGTCCCTTCCAACCCTAACCATTCTATGATTCTATGTGTTTTCCAATAGTGTCAGCCTAGGAGCTTTCAGAAGCCATGAATTGATGACCTGCAGAGCTGAGAAGCCTTGAAAGATTGTTTGTCATCTTTGGGATAGCCTGTATTGTCATTTTGTGATACTACTTAAAGTCTGCACATATACTTTGACATCTCTTTCTGGTTTGAGTTGTCTTTGAAAAGCTCTGTCTTACACACGTGCATAACCAGCCAGAAAAGATGTTGTTACAGGTTCTCTCTTCGTAAATAATCCAGCTCCACTTAAAAGTTATTAAAGAAATTAGACTACGTTCCTTCCTTCAGCCCAAAGACAACAGCATTTTACTTACTGCAAGCAGCCTCCCTGAGCAGAAGCAGATTCCACATACTGCTTCAGAGCAAGCCGGAATCCCTCAATTTCTTCTTCTATCACAGACATTTGACGTTGAACAATCATTATGTGCTGTTACAAAAACATGATAATATTACTGCCATATCATCCTCTGAATTCCTCGTTTAAACTCAGAAAAGTCTATCATAAAACAACAAAAACCACAATCATGAAAGAAAACCCACAGAAGTTCCTTCGAAGTTTGCCATCCCCATTTTTGTGCTGTGGAATGGAGAAGTAAGTAGAAATGCTCAAGTGTGGATTTTATGTCTAGGCAGGCTGAGGCATAGAATGGAAACACCGAAAATGAGTGTTCATCTTAGACAAAGTGAGAGTTATCGGAAGCCAGGATGAGAGAGTCTTTTTGGGAGAGTGTGAAGCAAATTTTGATCTTGGAAATGTTCAGTAATAAAAGTCAGTGTGTTTCCTTGGATGAATTTGTATGTGAGCCGGTGCGAGGTTTGAGATAAGAGCATATTCCTCCAATCTGCACTGAATGCAGTGTTTTATTTGATTGAGGTCCTCTCGTGGCCTTTTACCTTTAGGAGCTCAGACTCACACCTGAATGAGATGCTTAAGGTAGCCCATGTTAAATGAGAAATAGAGAGGGTTTTTTTTCCTCCACCTTTCTGCAAAAAATAAACAATCTTTATAAACAAGTCTACAGAAACACTTGGCAGTACAGAAGACCTATTTATCCTGAATTATTCCGATTATCATTTTAGCTAATGTAGGTAGTTTACATATTGATGCATCCATTGAAGCTTGTCAACTTTACTAATGCAATATTTAAAGAAACACCATATGCTTCTTAATTAATACAAATTAATCTCTTGTACAGGTTTTTGACTCATTTCTGCCTTGATTATTGATATTATTATCTCATGGATTATCCCTCCATCATAAGTAGCCTGTCTAGCAGTGTTGTATAATCTCATTTAAAAAAAAGAAAAAAAATCTAATGAAATTCCTGTGCTGAAATAAGGAATTTGATGGATCATCTATTTGGGTTATTTTTTAATGTGTATTTGATTTGGATTTTGTTAGATTGAAAGCCCTGAATTTAGGAATGCTAGTGTATTTGAAAAATTGAGCTCAATCTTGGGACGTAAACTTACTTAACAGTACGTGTATTTCTGGTCATGATTTTGTTTTTTTTTAAGTTGTAATATTGATTATTGCTTAGCACTAGATGCTCTCCCAGCAGTTTTGGGAGGGAGGGGGAGGGAGGCTGTACAACTATGATTTAAAGCATGCATGCAACATTAGGGGATTGGGAGCAGAGAAGCTACCACCTCATGAACATTGCTGCCAAATTTGGTAAATCTATTAATGACACCTTTTCCTCCTTATATGAGTTGAGTTTTTGGCTCACTTTATCCTTTGAAAACAATGCAAAAATTAATATACAAGTTTTGCCCACATATTCTAAGTTTTGTTTTGTTGCTTCTTGCACAATGGATTCTCCTAACTAAAACTGATTCTCGTCACTGGAAAAAGGATTTTTTAAATTATTTTTTAACAAAAGAGGTCAGGTGAGATTGTTGTCTCAATAACTGGCATTCAAAATCAGATGTCAAAATCATTATCTTGAAAAGCACTTACAGATCTTGCGTTTTCTTCCAAAACTTCCTCTTTAAATGGCTCAAGCTTTAAGTCCTTTGAGGCAGTAGAAAAGAAAACAGAAATATAAAAGGCAATATTACAGCTGTATTCTGCTTTTATCTTTTTAACAAAGTATTCCAATAGGTAGTTTCTGTTTTATCTCCAGAAGTTATAATTCAATTGCTTCTTTATTAGCTGTAAGTCAAGTCAAACACAAGCATCGTTTGCAGAATCTTGCACGTTTTGGGGGTTAAGTCCAACCCAGGCTGTTCTGTAAAGTTTTATTTGTAATGCTGAGCAGGTTATTTTTCATTTGTAACAAATCTGCTTGTTCACAAATATGTTGGACTTAAAAGGCAGGTAACCTTCTCAAATTGTCACGTGGACTGTGGAGATAAGCAAGGATGGTAATTTGAAATGAACTATTAGCTACTATTATGCAATCATAGAACTTTACACAGAATAAACTTGTCTAGGGGGGTTTATGGTTGCAAGGGACTGTTCTCTAGCATTGAAAAAGCTGTGCATCATGTTCAAGTCAGGTTTCTGAAATGATGCATTTGCTTCTGAGGACAGGCTGGGCAGCAGCAAAGAGATGCATCTGTGAGGCAGCAGTGCGCTTGCTTGGCACGCAAACTAGATGTGCACTTCGTGAATCGGTGATTCATGCAAGCACCATCTAGTAATGCACACAAAATTATCGTTTACGTGCTAGGCACATGCAGTACCTTCTAACCCAGTGCCATATGGATGTTCTGAAAAATACTCATATGCCTAAAAAAAAGCAAATCAATTTGCAAAAAGCAGCTGGAGCAAAACGTGCCCTTCGTTAGTGATGCTTCTCTTCTCATTGCACACAATTCTTGTGTAACAAAGATAAAAAAATTTCTTCTACTTGCAACTGGCTGAGAATTGATTAAGCTCAGGTAGTAGGTGTTTTACCAGCACAAATACTGAACTCTCTGAAAAGCCAACAAGAGGTGTGCAGGCAGAATTCAAATGAGGAGGGGAGCTCCACCAGCCGCAGGTCGCAGAGCAGAGCGGCGATCCAGCAGGCGCGCAGTCACTGCTGCGTAGCTGCACCTCTCCTGCAGACTGCGCGGAGAAAGGCGTGAGATGGTATGTGGGGGACGGAACTCCCAGCTTTAATAGCTCATTTGTCAGTGCAGACACTTCAGATAAAAACCCTGAGGAAAAGGCATATTCCTGTGATTCTCCTATACTTTCAGTGCAATTTTTTTCTAGGGAAATGTGTGGAAAAAGAGAGGAAAGAAATGACTCAAGTTGTATTGCAAACTTTCTCTTAAGGTAGCAAGAAAATAATTCTACTTTTTACAGTAAATATAACTTTAGAATTTGAGGAAAAAAAAAAAAAGTTTATGAGATTGATTCCTGGTTAAATTCACCTTTGACAGAAGACAGCAGAAGAGTTAGACAACACTAAATCAACCATTCACCAGGTGGTTTCCCAATAGGAACCACTGACAGATAACTTGCTGGCCCCCTCAAGAAGTTAAAAACAATTGATACAAGTTCTTCAGTAATATTACGTCCTTAGACAGGGCATGACTACACAGATGAGGTAAGCCTACACAGACTGCTTGCTGTGACCTCGGAGCATGCAAGCACTGGCACATAGTCCTCATCCATGTGGAAAGAGCGCTCAGGCATCGGCTGGCTCAACATGGAGCATGGGTGAAGTAGCCCAGCATGGAGATGAGAGCTCCTGCCAGACACTAACCATGCAGCCTGGAAATGAAAACTGACCAAGACTGCAGCTCAGAGCTGAGGCTTTACCATGCCACCTCAGTCCTACCTCACCTCAGCTGAGGCATGGTAGCTTCTGAAATCGCCTCTTAGTGTGATTGTGTGATTCTTCTCATCTGCTTCAGGGCAAAGTCAAAAAGAAGAGCTTTGGTAGCTGCTGAAACATAGCAGCTGGATTGGATGTGGTGAGTTAACCTGGAACATCATCTGGGCTAAAAACGATTAAGTTACTGCTGAGAGACGGCGTATGTAGCGGCCTCATCCCAGGTGGGAAGTGGTGACCAAGTGGTCACTTGGCGTTTCTGTCTAATTCATTTCAGTCTGAACTCAATGGTCATTCAAGCGATCAGCTTTGCTTTTTCTTGACTTTGCTTTGGAACAGAGTAGATGGGCTCACAGTCTCCTCACCCTCCAGTAAGAGGGACCGACATCCTTTTTGCTATATGTGCCTGTCCCAGTCATGACCCAGACACTCTTTTGCTAGATGCTATTTAAACATGGATCACAGGGAGCTCCTCCTACTCTAATGAAGTGTAAGATCTAATAAATGGAAGACGAGGGAATGTCATTAATGCAAAAGAATTCTCACAATTTTTTTTATATGCCTTAGAATACTTTACAGGACCAGAAGTTTTATGATTTCTAAGTTACATGCCTAGTAAATTGGGTTTTTTAGTTCATAGAGGCCAGAAAGAAGTGCCAAGAGAAGAACAATGAAAGTAAGTGGTCCTGGAGAAGCTGCAGAAATGGTAAACTTCTCACCTCTAGGCTCAGTTAGACCTAGCTGTGAGATACAAAGTCAAGCAGATGCGAAGTCAGGCAAAGGTGGATATAGTCTGTCTATTGGCAAAAGTAGGTTTGTCCAATTGCTATGTTTTATTAATCAAGTTTTATATTGGTAAGGAGGTAACTATGGAAGGTCTGAGCCCTGCCACTGTTTCCCTTTGGCATTGAGCTTCTTTTCAAACTGAGGTTCTCTGTCATTTATCTATAGCAGATTTGAACATTTTATAACATCCTTTTTGTAAGTTTATTTACTACAAAATGGTCGTCTGTTTTCTGTAATATTCACATTGCATTATTGCTGTCTGCCAGATTTCTTTTTTCAGTAACATTCCTTTAAATGTTAAGTTTCCTTAAACTCCTCTTGGCATCAGTCCGTGTCGGGACGTCACTGTGGCATGCTAGCGAGCTGCTGCTTCCAAAGCAGAGCTGAGAGTAAAGCTGGCCCAAAAGCAAGAGTTACATTTCATGACGGACTTCGACATTTCAAAATCCAATTTATAGCTATTCAGAAAAAAATCAAGTTGCTACTAAAATGTCATTAATGTGGCAACTGCTGTGTAATTGCTTTTCTCATGCAGAAATGACCTCTAGGAGGAAGCTGTTGTGCGCAGGCAGATGAGTATGCCCTGGCCGGAGGCTTAATGGACTGAGCAGACCATGAGGAGCTGCTGAGCATAGCAAGGAACAGAGTGAGAAGCTGACAGAAGCTACAGACAGTGCCACAAGGAATGGCAGAATTTCACAGCTGGTTAAGGAGAAGCGATGCGAGAGACTGTCAGACCTCAGGAATAACCTAAGGGAGTAGTGGGCTCCTTTTTGGGAGCAGAGTCTTGCAAGGTCAGCAGCACTGGGGGCGACTGTATCGGTAACGCAGCTGATCAGTAATAAGACTGAGATAACAGAAGTACCAAATTTTGGTCCCAAACTAGGACCGAAGGGGAAAAGTAATTAGGGATGTTTTGTTCATTTGGGAGGGAGCACTGGCACAGAAGCGACAGCATGCTTGTCTTGCTGAGCCTTGTGCCGAATCACCACCGTTTGTCTTCTTGTTAAATCTCTTAACTATTTTCTAGGTACATGATTTGCTACTGAACTCAAGTTGGACTAGCGGGTGAGTAGGAGGAGACACTTGTCTGCCAGGATCCAAGGTCTGAGCCAATGCCTAGGTATGGGACTTTGGCCCAGACACAAATTCTAGGTGGACTTGAAGCCCATGATAACATTCATGGGGGAACGTCCATCCTGATCAGCTAGAAAGAAGGAATAGGATTAGGCTGTTGCATGTTCATGTTTCCATGCGTGCTGCCTGTCTTTTTGCAGGTGCTGATGAAAGCACTCATGCTGGTGTGTGTGAACTCTCGTCTTTGGAGAACATGCACAGCCTCACCACCGGTGAACACTGAGCTGCAGGGAGGGACAGCAGCAGCTGCACTGGGACTGGGGCAACTCCTGAGTCTCACAGTGCTTCAGCCAAAAAACCTCGCCTCTAGTGGACGAGGAAGATGAAATCCTCTTAGTCCCTGTCCCAGTTTTAGCTGGGACAGAGTTTTTTTTTAACAGCCAGAAGAGCTCCCTGTTTTGGTTTCACTCAGAGGCTCACTCTGAGAAGAATGTTGATAGCAAGCTGATGTTTGTGGTTGGAAGTGAAACTCCAAGGACTTTTCAGTGTGCGGAGTACAGAAACACGGCAGGATAAGGGGGGAGCATAGCTGGGACAAGGGGGACACGATTCCCCTTGTCATTTGTGTGGAACTTAAGACTGAGGGCCAAACTGGCCAATTAGTATTCCATATCATGCAGCGTCATGCCCAGTATAAAAGCGAGGGTCAGCCGGGAAGAAGGGCTTTTGCGCTTTTGCTCTTTTTGCACTTTTGCTCTTTTGCGCTTGCTGCGCTGCTGCTCTGCTGTTTTTTTTTTTCTTTCTCTCTCTCTCTTTCTCTCCCTCTCTGCCCCTCTCTATTTCGGGGCCTCGCGTTCATCCGGGATTTGCAGTTTTCGGGACGAGACGGGCTTCGCATACGAGGGGTGGTGAGCACCTACATTGTATTAAATCATCTGTATTAAATCACTCTTATCTCAACCCACGGGTTTCACGTTTATCCTTTAATTCTCTCCCTCATTCCTGGGGGTGGGGGAGGGGGAGTGACCGGCTGTGTGTGGGGCGGTTCAACATAACCCACGACAGTCCCCAAATCCGCTTAACTCAGCCCCACTTCCTTAGCACCTATCTGAAATTGTCTTGTTTGTCCTTCAATAGGGACACTTTATGTAGAGAACAACACAGGAATTTATACCTTCCTTTTTCTTCTGCTCTTCCTTCTCAAAAAAAAAACCAACATAGCACACACAGACATAAAGCAACTTTTAAAACCTAGGATATCAATAAATATGATTGGAAAAAAAAAATATTTTCTGTACAGACAGATGTTACTGAGGTTTTTGCAAGCCATGGGAAGCCTTGGTATTGTTGGATCAGACTCCATTTGTCACCCTCCCGGGGGTTGTGCTTTGGTGTGGGAACCACAGTCTCAGGGCTGTGAAGGCTGGTGCAGTCCTGGAGCTGGAGCAGCTCCCACAGCTCCCAGGAGGGATGGTGGGATTTGCATCAGCTTTTGGTTGAACTATACTTACTAGGAAAGCAAGTAGTAATCTTTATAAATCAGTGTTCTCTGATGGGGAAGGAGGAGACAAAACTTTCTGTCAAGCTTTAGTGGGAAAGTTTGGAGAGGCAGAGAAAAAAATCAGATCCTAAAAAGAGGGGCTTGTTCCATGGTCCCCAAAACAAGCATAAGTACATACAGTAACATCCTCCAGTCGTAGAATAACATGACTTTTCCAATCTTAATGAAAAGTAGAATCTGTAGTGATGGGAAGGGGAAAGGAGATCTTGGGAAAACCATGTCATGCTCTCATGAAATGGGAAAGAAGGTGATGAAAGTAGTATGTAGGCATTTAATGAGTGTTAGCTCTCTTAGATGATGTTGAAGTTTCACTCATTACTGATTGGAAAGACTGAGACTGGGACATTGAAAGCATTTGTGGTTTAAGGATTGCTTTACTGAAAATGAGAGAACAAACAGGTGAAAAGGAATACACACCTTCTTTTCCAGCCTGTCAATCAGCTTTTGGAGTCTGTTTATCTGGGTCATCCACTGGCTGTCTTCCTCAGTCCAACCTTTGGAAAACATAAATAATGAACATTTATTAAATGTTGCTAAATGCTGGAACATAGTGTATTCATTTATTGTATAAAAAAGTTTAGCTTAGCTTGCAATTGATTTTGCTTCTTGAAGCTTGTGCTGCAACTAGTTTGATGTTTATTTAGGAGTAACTAAAGGAAAGCACAATTTTGACTATATGAATTACTTCCTTTCTTTCAAAGACAGAATAGAAATTCAATACAGAATGAAAGCTACATTCTAGATGAATGCCAGTGCTTTTGAAATCATGCTAATACCTGAAGAAAGAAATGTTCTCCTCTGCAGATGGAACCAGCTCATAAACTGAGCACCTTCTGCTCAAAACGCAAAATCAGCTTGGGAGGGTGTGTATGTGTATGTGTATGTTAAAGCTTTCTCTGTCTTAATATTCTTCTTAGTTTGCCATTTCCTAATCTTCTTTATGTGAAAGTTTCTGTCAGAGTATGAGTCAGTTCTGCTGCGTAGCAAGCCTGTCTTTGGGATTCCTTTCAAATACATCCCATGGAGGGACC